AAGGCACATAGCCGCTGGTTTTCCTGGCGATGGCCAGAGCGGCTGCCGCTACAACTCAACAGCCTGGCCACCGAACGGAAGGCGCAAACCTCCCCCACGCCCTGTGGAACCCCCAGAGGTAGCAGCCACCAGTCCTTCGCTCGGGAACCCCACGCCTGCTTGCAGGCGAGGGTCCCCGACCTTGGACTGGAAGACGCCTACTGGCAATTCCTACAGGCAGGGGGACAGGCCTTTGCGCCTTCTGCCTGGGCGAGGGTGGCCAAGCCGCCACGTTACCCAGCCACCCAACTTCTGGGAGAGCCACCGTCGCGTAAGGCTCAAGCCTTTCCCGCGCTCGGTGGACCCCCCCCCAGGCGGCCCCCAGTCGCACGTTCTGGGAACCCCTCGCCTGCTCTGCAGGGGAAGGCTCCCGTCGTTGGACTGAGGGACGCCTGTGGGGAGTTCCTACGAGCAGGGGGAGAGGCCTGTGCTCCTTCCTCTTGGCGAGCGTGGGACCCCCACACGCTGCCGCCACACAGCCACATACTGCCACCACTCTCAGCAACGCCGCCGCCGCATTCTCCTCCATCCCTCCCCGTCTTGAGATTACGATATTTTTCTGGGAAAGGGCGTGGACTCGGGGTGTGCTCGTTTAGCTGTGTTCCACTGTCCCCAGTGCCATGCTGGCACGGGCTGGCAAATCTCAGTTCGTTAAAAAAATATGTGAAGCCACTCGGCGTGGAAAAAACGTGTTTCGCGAGTGCCCACTCGAGGAAAATGCGCCCCCCGTCTCGGATCCTCGTTGCCTAACGGGCCTCTTGAGCCATCTAGAGCGCCTCTTAGGCCGTATTGGCGCACTCTCTGGGTGTGTTGGGGCTCTCTTGGACGCCTCTTGTGCCGCCTCCATACGTCGGGAAATGTTGCAAGCGACTATGGGAAAATCTCTGAAGCAACAAAAACAAGGGGACATGCAGAGCAACGGTCCCTCTTTTTGCGGAGACTGGTTCTAGCGAAACTCTGGACTCGTCGTGGCCAGAGGCTTCAGGAGTCTAAAGGCATGCCTTAAAACTCCTTCTCCCCCAGGGTTGGGGGGGTGGGAGACCGACAAACAACTTGATAATGAACGGCAGCAGGGAAGAGAAGCGACTAGACGGTTCCTGATGTCTCTGTGTGGACAAGGCAAGCCGAGAACATCACCAAGACGGCCCCTCTGCTCAACCCGTTCTAAAACCTCCAGAGCAACGGTCCCTCTTTTTGCGGAGACTGATTCTAGCGAAACTCTGGATTCGTCGTGGCCAGAGGCTTCAGGAGTCTAAAGGCATGCCTTTCAACTCTTTTCCCCAAATCATCCCGAGAGAATCCAATGTGGATGTTCACTTGGGTGGGAAGGAAAAGGGTGGGTAAAACCGGCTCTAGTCTCAACGATGCTGGCCAGTAAAGTCGAGACCATGGCCTTCGCCATATCTCTGGGATATTCAGAAGCAATGCGTGTGCGACGGAGGCCACCTGGCCCTCCGCCGCTCAGCTGCCAATGGGGGCGTTGGGTCTTCGAGCATATACAACCCTTTGGCCTACATCGCTGGGTGAGTTTAGTCAGATCTTCAAGGTTCACATTGCCACACAACATCCTAGTAACCTTTTTCCACTTAGCGCCGTACTGGCACTGGTCGAGCTCGACTCAAAAAAAGACATGCTTACAATGGGAGAGCTCGCACATTTCTGCAGTATGCCAGAGTCGGCTGGTCAGCGGATGCTCGAACATGACAGGAATGCCTCGCCGTAGAAAATAATCTGAACAGGGACAGAGCGACTTGAGCAAGACGATTGCCGAGATGCACAGCTGCCGCATCGGCAGCAGTCAGAAAAGAATCCGCCGACCCCTTGTGGGTCTCTAGGCGTGTGAGATAGTTCCCCCCCCCTAACCCCCCCCTGGGACCCCAAACCGGAGATTCGACCCCCCCCCCGGGCCCACGACGAGCGCGTCACGGGGCTCTCTTGGGCCCAAAAGGAGATCAAGACGGGCCAAGAAGGCCCCAAGACTCCTCCAAGACGGCCCACGAGGGTTCCGAGGCGCCAAACGAGCGCTCCCAGACGCCCAAGAAGCCCCCAAGACGAGCCTAGAGGCCTCCAAGACGGCCCAAGAGGCCTCCAAGAGCAGTCCTCAGAAGGGCCGAAGCGCCGAAAATCGTCAAATTCCTATGGGAAAACGTACATTTTGATCATATACTACTTGTCGGCCTTCACGGCGTTGACGACGGTCCCAGAGCACCCCAAGACCGCCCCGAGAGGCCCCCAAGAGGCGCCCAAGTCGGCCCAAGAGGGCGCCAAGACAGCCCAAGAGGCCCCCAAGACAGCCCAAGAGGGCCCCAAGACGGCCCCAAGAGGTGCCCAAGAGGGTGAGCCCGAACCGACAATCCGAGCCTTCCGCCCCAAGACGGCCCCAGAAGGCCCCAAGACGCCCCAAGAGGCCCTCAAGACGCCCACAAGAGGCCCCAAGAGGCCCCCAAGAGGCTCCAAAACGGCCTCACAACGGCCCCCAAGAGGCTTCGAAACTGCCTCCAAGAGTCCCGCGAGAAGCCCCCCAAGAGATCCCAACGATCACCGCACAAGTCTCATATCAACAACCCAGGCACGGTGGCGGGGTTGCGTTTGCGCACACAAAAGGATTCGCGCTCTCGAAGCCTAAATTGCTCCAAAACGGCCCAGGATGGCTCCAAAACGGCCCAAGATGGCTCCAAGACGGCCCAAGACAGTTCGAAGACGGCCCAAGATGGCCTCAAGATGGCCTAAAAGGCTTTCACTATCGCCCACGAAGTCTCCAAGAAGACCCCCAAGACATATGAAAGAGGCGCACATTACGCATTTCAATACATTTCCATTGCGTTGTTGAACATGTTTGCACTTGTTGCCTTTCCCGGCTTCCGTCGGCTCACGTAGCCCCAAGAGCCTCCAAGATCGCCCCACGGCGCCCCAAGAGGGCCTCAAGACGGCCCCAGAGAATCCTAACACGGCCCTGGACGCCTCCCAAGTCGGCCTAAGACGACCCCAAGACGGCAAAACCTGCCTCCAAATTGGTCCCAAGCTGGTGCAAGACGCCTCTGACCCAAAACCCATAACCCAGAGCCTTGTTTTTGTGTCCCCTTCCTCCTTTTCCTCCTCCTCCTCCTCCTCCTCCTCCACCTCGGCCGCCAGGTGGGTTCAAAACTGCTTTCCAGAGGTCCCCGAGAAGCGTGCCGCGAGATCCCTATACACATACAAAAAGCCTCTAACCCATAGCACATATCCCAGAGTTTCGTCTCTGTGTCCCCGTCCTCCTCCCCCTCTCCTCCTCCTCTTCCACCTCCTCCTCGCCCACTCCTCCTCTTCCTCCCCCGCCTCGTCCTCCTCCTCCCCGATTCTTCTCCCCCCCATCCTCCGCCTCACCCCCCACCCCTCTCTCCCCCTCCCCCCTGTCCTCCCCCGCACGCGCGCCCCCGATTGGGCATCATTCGCAGGTCTTGCATATTAGGGTGCCCTTTTTTTGCATCGCGTGCGACGTTAGAGGGGTCCCCGGAGAACGCCGACTTCGGTAGTCTTCTCTTGCACGCGCCGCCCCACTGATACGCCTGGCGACTGCGGGCTGTGAACTCGAGGTTCTTGCAGCCTCCGCACACCACTTTCGCTCCTTTCGCCGCTCGATGATTTCCCACTTGCTTATGCTTCAAATGTTTCGTGTCCGAGAACGCTTCTCCGCACGCCGCGCGCGTCAGTGGCTTCGCGTCTGCCTCGGCTTTCCGCTTGCGATTCGTTGCCTCCGCACTCCCCCGTCGCACCTCTTTCTCTCGTTCTTCCCCGCATTTCCGACAGAGCCTTTCCCCCGCAGCATTGTGCTTCTTCTGAGCTTCCGACATATCCGCCTTTTCGTCATATAGCGACAGGCACTTACCGTTCGTACATCGCACTGCTCCGACGCTCTGATTCCACTTCGCGCTGTCTTTCCGCGAGTTCTGCTTGGCTTTGATACCGCTGCACTTCGCGCAGTACATGCCACCATGGCGCTGCCATGGTGGCATGTACATGCCACCGCGGAGGCCCGCAGTCAGGTAAAACATGGAATCCCTTGAAACAGTGATGGCGACAACGACAACAATGATTATGACGAGGATGATACCGATGATGATGATGATGATGATGATGCTTAGCATGATGATGGTGGTGATGATAATGATAATGATGATGATGATGATGAAGATGAAGATGGTGACGGTAATGATGATGATGGTGGCGATGGCCTCGGGCTCGCAACGTGCCTGGACCTAGCAATGCGAAACAAACCGCGAACACCTTCTCGGTTCCCAAGCGTGTGAGACTCGTCCCCTCCACAGCCCCGAGGTTCCCCGTGCGGGCTCAGGGATGCCCCAAAAAACAACCCCGCCTCACCAAAGAAGTCAAACCCAGCAAAAAAAAAAAAACGGGCCCCACTCCAACGCTTCCACCCTTTGGGCATCTCCAGAACGATGCCAATATTGCATTAGCGTCCTTTCTTTTCCGATGGGCCCCCCAGGGCCTCGAGATGACCCCAAGCGGATTCCACATGGCCCCAAGAGAGGTCATTATGGACCCCTACACGACTCCCCAGCCCGATTCAAGCGAGCCGGCAAGACCGCCAAGATGAGGGGTCGGCGGATGTGGCGTAAGCCTATAGAATCGTTGAACCCCCACCGCTCATCGCGACTTCGCACAGGCCGAGATCTGTCATGCGCAAGCGAAAAAGTCAGGCACGGCGGGGCCAGCATTGCAGCCACCAGCCGCCCAACTCGGGCGTCTGACCTGATGGCTTGCAAGACTTTTGGCGACAGCAGGTCCTGCCACTCTGCATCGTAGATGACGCCCCAGCTTCGCGAGCGTAACCCCAAACTGTCGGCCGCGCGCGAGCGCCCTGCAGCCTGCAAAAAGATCGGCCAGGTACTGTCCTTTCCCTAGGCGAGAACGATGGAGCCGACCCCTTGATCGCGCCCCTCTGTAGCCGAGGTGCACTCGGGTCAGTTTTGCCCTGGACGCACGCTGAGGGGCTGTCCCGTCAAGATCTGGGTCAACTGCCTCTCCGCCTGTTCGCGCACTGCACGCAGAGCTGGCGCCAACTTCGCGTAGCTGCTCCCCAGCATGCTACTGTGCTCGTAGCGGTGCACGGACTTGGCTTGGGCCCACTCGCCCCGCCTCTGAGTCGAAGTGAGATTGCGCCATCCATTGGCCAGGTCGACGCTGGCCCCCGAGTGCCTCATCTGATGCAGAGTGACGGGAGCGATTCCGAGATCCTCTGCCGCCTCCCTGAGCAGGGCCGACGCCTCGGGGCAGTCGAAATTCCACAGCGGCTCCTTCGAGGCTGCCGAGCCCAGTCGTCTGAACACTGCATCCAAGCCCTGGAGGTACGGAGAGTCCAGCGGGCATCCCTCGTCGAAATGGCCCCTCTTGCTAGGCTTTCTCCGCTCCCGAGGATGAGTCAGCAAGGCCCAGTGGCGGCTGACGCCCGTCGTCGGGGGGACGAGGTCGCACCTCCGGGCGGCCAGCAAGGTCGAGGGCCGAGAATAGGTCGAGACGCCCACCATGAGGAAGAGCGCCAGTCGAAGATGCCCTCGGCGCACCAGCTTCCAAGCAAGGCCGCACCAGACCGGGAGGGCCAAGGCCTTCCGCCGACGCCCAGGAGTCAGCCTGCGCCAGGCCTTGAGAGACCGCCAGGCGCGGGGTAGCTTGCGACCCCCAGTTCGACCGAGGTCGGGGTTCGCGCTGACCCCAGCCGCCATGGTCTGATCCCCATAGCTTCTCTGCTCGCCCTGCAAGTAATTCTCGGTCAAGTAGTTGCAGAACAGCTCGTCGATCTCTGTGTCGGCCTTCGCGAGGATGTCCCCCCGCTTCAGGCCGACACGCGAGTAGAAGAGATCGAAGTAACGCTGGTACCTCACCTGCGTCGGCCGCGTCACGGCCAAGGTCTCCAGGAGGCTCACCCCAGCTTCCTGAGCAGCAAGGATCGCGTCGGCGCACAGCTTCGCACGCCTCTGCGCCCTCCGAGCGCGCAGATGCCGCATCCGCACGCGGCCGCGCCCCAGGTGCTCGATCACCGAGTTGGAGCCGCTGGAGCTGCTGTCGCCCTCGGCGGCCCCCCCTCCGTCTCCAGCGAGGTCCTGACCGTTGGCGCCCCTGTCGTCCAGCGCCGAGAAGTGCCGCCCCGCCCGTGCAACCCTGGCTGGCACAGCAGAGGGGGCCGGCACCAGCGCACGTCGGCGCCCAGCTGCAGGCGGGGCGGCCGGCGTCTGGGCGCCCCTCGGGCCAGCCCGCGCACGGCGCGCCACGTGTCTAGCCGTCAGCGCCCGCGAGCCCAGCGCTGTCCGAGGGAGCCTCTCGCCCGACGGCAGCGGCGGCTCCCGGGCCACAAGCGCGCTGAGCCCCCGCAGCCGCTTCGGGCCCATGCCAAGAGCCCTCTACATTGATCGGGGGCTCAGCGATGGTGGCCAGAACCGAAGGTTTTGAGCCACAACGCCTACTGACAGGTCCCACAGACACGTCTGGTTTGGGGACGGCTCTTGGAGGACGGGTTTGCAAATTCAAAACTGGCCTCAAACTTATCATCTGGAAGAGATGTTACTATACTACTGTCGCTATCTGGAAAAACCCTGCTGCCTTCGTCACTCCCATTAAACTCCGAAGGGATCCATCGAAAGGCGGGTGAGAGACCAAACGCTATGGCACACGCATAGAAACGACGAATCTGAACCAACAAAATGAAGCATGAGGATCGGGCCCTCGAAAAAGGAATCACCACATACATATTATCTGAAAGGAAAAGCTGACGCACACTGACTCCATGAGAGGTCTTGGCCAATCTCTGGACTGCTTTAACAAGGGCCTTGGCCTCCAGGATCAAAATGCTTCGGGAAAACGCCAGATCCCTGAGCGGACCGTCTCCCAGGCCCCTTTTCGGAGCCACTCCCAGGGGACTTCGGCCAAGTCAGGATCAACATCCCATGCGGACAAAACATCGGGCCCCGAGGAATCCTCATTTATCACTCTCGACGCTGCGGATCACCCCCGAGCTACCCTGGGCCAGGCTGGCGGCTGCGAGCGCGCTCTCTCGCGCAGGCCTTCCCTGCGCGGAGCGGAAGCGGGCCCGCTCGGGCAGCCTGCCGACCTCCTCCACCACGCGGAGCGGCCAGAACGACTGCGCCATGCCCCAGCCGCTCTCGCTGGCGTCGGTCTGGAGCACGCATCTGTTCCAAGGGCGCCACCAGTCCTGCACCAGCAGCACGAGCAAGCCGCGGAACATCTCCACCTCCTTCACGACCTCGGGCCACAAGCGAGCGGGCTCGAGGTAGCGCCGTTGGACGAAGCGGTGGGAGGCGCGCCAGCAGCTCAACGAGCCCCGCAGAGCAAGCCCACAGAATGTGCAGTGGCCGAGCACCACCTCCAGGGCTCGCCCCGTCGCGCGGCCGCGCGCCAGCAGGCCGCCCAGCCCCATGTACACCTCCCAGAAGCGGCCGTCGCTCACGCCCGATCTCATCAGCTCGAGGTCCAGCTTGGTCCCCAGAGCCCCGCACGCGCCCGAGGTCACGGAGCTCTTGTGCAGGTCGAGGCCGACCCCCTCCAAAAGCCCCGCCCACTGGTCGAGGATCTCCTGCGCGGTGGTCTCCGACGGGGTGATGACGCCTAGGTTGTCGACGTACACGTAGGCCCCTCCAACACGGCCAGGTTCGACGTCCATGACCAGCGAGGGTCCTCGGTCGCTCATGAGCAGCCTCTCGGAGATCGTCATATCTCCTCCCGGCCAAGGGTTCGAGCTGACCACTCTCTCCTCGTTGGCATCCTGCGCCAGGAAGAGCGACCCCGAGAAGCCCATGGGGAGCGCGCCGATGCACGGAACGACCAGGGTGTCCGGTCCCAGGCGAGCCCCCATCGAGCTCCTGGCCGGCGAGCCCTAGGACGTGGGCGGGCGCGGCCGGCAACGAAAATAACTTCGCCAGGTTCAGGGGGATCCGCATGCGGTAGAAGCAACCCTTACCGTCCGTCATCCCAAGAAAGAGCCTGAACTTGCCCAGCAGCTCCTCCGCGCGGGCGGAGCCGAGGGCCACGCCCCCGGGGGGCCTCACCTCCACGCGCCCGAAGCCCTCGCAGGAGAGGAGCTGCACGCTGGGCGGCACGTTGAACCAGGCGTTGGCACGTCGGGCGTCCACTATCATGCGCATCTTGTGCCCGTCAGACTTCTTCACGAAAAAGAAGCCCGCCTGCTCAGAAGGCGTCAAAGTTGCCAGCAGGAGACCTCGTGACGTGAGATCCTTCAAAAAACTATGGTACTTCTTCTTGTTCTGCTTCAGCAGCGGGTCAAAATGCGGAGTCGGCAAGCTGTCAAAATCGATCTCGTGGATCGGCCGCCTCATGCGCTTGTAATTCCCCTTTCAATTAAGTGCGACCAGCCTCGCCCACTACGTCTTCCACCTGGCGGCAGCCGACAATCGACGGGGGCAAGGACACGCGGTCACGGACGAAGAAGGCCAGGTTCCTCGGGGAGCCCGATGCGTCGTAGATCGAGCACCCCTTGAGCAACGCACTGAGCGCCGCCTCGCGGGACGGACAGGGGCTGGGAGCTGCGGCCCGACGCCGAAGAGCTTCGCTTGCCACCCACTGCGCAATCCCAGCATGCTTGCCCCAGATGGAGTCCAAGGGGCGCGGCTGGCCAGCGTCGGCCGGCTCCCAGCCAGCAAGCCAGTTGAGAGAGTCGATCGCGCCACTCGCCAATTCGTGCTCACGCCTCCGCCCGGCACCAGCAATCCGGGCGCGGCCGCCGCCCCTGCTGGCAGGCGGCACGGCCAGGCGAGGAAGAGGGAAGAGGTCCCTGCCCCCGCTCGCCACAGCCAAAAGCGCTCGCTGGGCCGAAGAAGAGGTCCAACCAGCGGGGGCCCACTCCGCCGGCTGCGTCGAGTCCGTCATGATTGCACGGGCGGCGCGAGGGCGCGCGATCGGTTCTTGTTACCCCGGCCACCCCCGCTGCCGCCCCCGCCACCGCCTTTGCCACCGTCCTCGGCCGTCTCGCGCGGTGGAGCTCGAGATGGTGAGGCACTCGCCGCGACCGCCTCGGCCTCCTTGTCACCCTGCAGCAGCTCGCACTCCTCCTTGGCGCGCCTCGACACGTGTGAGCGCAAGCCTGGAGCCATGAGCTGGCCCACCTCCGTTAGAGGCGAGAGGTACTTCGCATTGGGGTAGGACGCCGCGCCGCCGGTCTTGTGAGCGTGACCAACAGATTCAGTCGAAGGGCCGCGACCTCCAAGCACGCCAATCCACCTAAGTTGAGCTGGTCGAACTCTCCAGCCTCCTCCAGGATGTCGCAGAGCACCCTGAGCTCGTGGGCCACCCTGTCCGTGGACGGCATCCCCTTCTCCCTCAGGAAACGTTCCAGCCAGGCCCGAGGAGAGCCGTTCAAGTTCATCATGATCTTGCACGTGTGGAGGCACGTCCGATCTGAGGGCAGGCGATGGTGGTCCCACTCCACGTTCGAGCTCTCGGCCACAGCGCGGCGGAAGTCCTTCCTCCTCTCGCCCTGCTCGTCCCAGTCGACCCAGAGCGTTCTGACGTCACTGTTGGGCTCCTCGGGCGCGGCCTCTCGCCGAGCATCCGACTCATCAGCGAGACCCAGCTTGGCCGCTAGGTGGTCGGGGCCAGGGTGGTCCGCTGGCGCCCGGGGCGGAGGGGCCTCGGTGCCGCCGACCACGGACCCCGCGGGCGCCGGCACGGGGGCGGCTCCAAGCAGCCCTCGCAGCTCCTCCAGGCGATCAGCAGCCCACTCGACGATGCTGTCCGCATCCACCTGCTCCAGCCGCGCCCAGTGGCCGACTCCAGCGAGCCCGGCCGACGCCTGGCTGACGGCGCGCACCACCCCCTCGGGCAGGGGGTCCACCACCGTGCCGACGGGCATCCCTGGCAGCGGTTCCGCCAGCACCCTAGGTCGCTCTCCCATCAACCATGGGAAATACTCTCGGCCAGGTCGCTCAACACCGTCGGGAAGCATCACTCGCTCAGCACCCTCGAACTCCCGCTGGCCACGGCCAAGCATGGTCTCGCGGCACTCCGCCGCGCGCTCCAGGATTTCGTCCAGGCTCGGGAGCTGGCGGAACCTGTACAAGCGGCGGCCGTCCGGGGGGCCCCCCGTCACCTGGTCCAGGATGGATCCTCCCGAAGGCCCCGTCGCGGGACTCCTCCCACTCAGGTCCTCCTCCCATGCGTCGCCGTCGGCGGACTGCACCCAGTGCGTCGACTTGCCCCTCAGCCACCCCCGTGCGTCTCGGCGACGGCTTGGCCAGAGCACGATCCTGGCGTGGTCCATGGCCTCCCCATCATACGAGACGCGAAGCAGCGATCCGACAGGCAGCTCAGCGCACCACTCCTCCGCCACGGCGAGCGGGGGCAGGTGACGTCGAGCGATCATCTTCTTCCGCACGGCTGCGGCGCTGGCAGTGATACACCAGTCGGCGTAGTTCTCCCAGGAGCGCGACCGTCACGCCAGGAGCAGCCGCTGCAACCCAGCCCCAGGGGTCCACCTCGAGCTCAGGCTTCGAACTCTCCACAAGACGCACCGGCTGCACCACGGGACTCGGCGCTGCCTCCAGCTCTGGGCATGGTGGGCCGCTGTCGGGGTCGGGCGGCAGCCACGCTGGCGGGCACACGGCCTGCAGCACACAAGTAGGCAGCCCCGGCTCGAATGGCGGATGCAGGCCCCTTGAGAGCAGCGCGATCAGGTTGGCAAGCCCCACGGCCACCAACGCGAGGTGGCCAGGGAGCGCAGTCGTCTGAGACCGACAAACAACTTGAGAATGAAAGGCAGCAGGGAAGAGAAACGACTGGACGGTTCCTGCTGTCTCTGTGTGGACAAGGGAAGCCGAGAACATCACCAAGACGGCCCCTCTGCTCAACCCGGTCTAAAACCTCCATGATTTCTCCCCATTGGGGCTCTCTCGGAAAGCAGTTGGGAACCCTCTTTGGGTGTCTTGGAGGCCTCGTGGTCCGTCTCGATTCAATGGTGGGCATGCTGGGAGCGTTTTCTGGCAAAATAGGGCATCCTTAAAACCCCTTATCGGCAGTGTCCTGCCCCCACCGGCAATATAGCCATACATAAATACATACCTACATACATGCATGCATGCATGCATACATACACATTTGCATGCATGCCTACATATATGCATACATGCGGATATACATCATATATACAGACACACATACACATACATACATACATGCATGCATACATACATGCACACGTAAACACATGCATGCATACATACACTTAAACATACAATCATACAATCATACAAACATACATGCATCATAGAACCATGCCGGGGGCGCGCTAGGAGATCTTGGACAGCGCTATCAAGCACGGGCGCGTGACATAGTCGTGCCTTCCGAGGGCCTCTTGGGAACCTCTTGGGTCTTCGTGGGGGCATCTGAAGGGCTTCTGGGGGGTTCTCCGTGCTTCCTCAATTGGCTGTTGGAGGTTAGAGGTACCTCTTGGGTGCTTCTCGGGGGGCATCTTGGGGCTTCTTGGGGTCCCTGGGGGGCATCGTCAAGGTTCTCCGGGCAGTCGGAAAGTGATGTTCTGCAGTCTGAAGCAGTCAATTGGCCGTCTTGGCTGCGTGGAGGCCCGGCTTGAAGCCACATTGGGGCAATCCGGAAGCCTCCCGGGGCCTCCTTGAAGCAATTTTGATGCATCGAGAACACTGTTCGGCTATCTTGGGGCCCCGTGAACGTCTCCTGTGAGCCTTTTGGGGCCTGCTGGGGGGCTTTGGGGAGCCTCGTCGGACCACTTGGGGTCTCTTGGAGCTTCCCGTGGGCCTCTGAGGGCGGAAAGCTCTGCTGTTGGGTTCACGTTCCCCTTCTTGGGGCTCTCTTGGGGCCCTCTTGGGGCCTCGGGCACCGTCTTGGGGCCCTCGTGGGCCGTCTTGGGGCCCTCTTGGAGACCTCTTCGGATACCTTGGAGCGGTCTTGGGGGCCACTTGGGCCGTCTTGGAGCGTCGGGATGCCAAAAGGCTGGGCACTCTAAAATCCATCAAAAGCCGAGGGGAAAACAATGCTTCTTGGAACCCCTTCGGCATTCTGGGGAGCTTCTTGAGGGCCTCTTGCGTCCCATTTGGGGGCCTCTGGGGCTTCCTGACAGCCTCTCGGGGTGGAAGGCTTGGACTTTCGATTCGTCTTACCCCTCTTGGGCCCCCCTTCGGGCCGTATTGGTGCCCTCTCGGGCTGTCTTGGGCCCTGTTGGAAGCCTCTTGGGCTAGCTTGGATTGGTCGTGGAGGCCTTTTGGGCCGTCTTGGAGCGTCAGGACGCCCAAAGGCTGAAAACTCGAACATCAATGAAAACCCTAGATTTTTGCCTCTTGGGGGCCTTCGTGGGAGAGCTCTTGGATACTCTTCGGCACCCTGGGGGGCTTCTTGGGGCCTCTTGGAGCCTGTTAGGGGGTTCTCGGGGCCTCCTCAGAGCCTCTCGGGGTGGAAGACTTGGTTTTTCGGTTCGTGTCAGCCCTCTTGGCTCCATCTTGAGGCCGTCTTGGGGCCCTCTCGGGCCGCCTTGGGCGCCTCTGGCGCCGTCTTGGGACCCCCGTGGGCTGTCTCGTGACCGTCTTCGAGGCCTCTGGGGATGCCTTGGAGCGGAAATTGAAGCCTCTTGGGCCGTCGTGGAGCGTCAGGAAACTCAAAAAGCGAGAACTCGAAAATCTATCAAAAACCAAAGGAAAACAAATTAGTTGTGCCTCCTGGGGCTCCCTGGGAGCCATCTTGGAGACCTCTTGGGACGTCTTGGAAGCCTCTTGGACAGTCAGGGACCAATTCTGGGGTGACCTCGGGCGGTCATTGGTCGTTTTCGTTGTCTGGAAACGCCATTTCTGGCAATCCAGGGCCGTCTTCGGGCGACTTTACAAGGCCCCCAGCGCCACGGCAGGGCCCCCGGGCCCCCCGGTGCGAGGGCCCCGTCCCGGGTCCCGCCTCGTGCCCGCGGCAGGGCGTCCCTGGGCCGTCTCGGCGCCCTCGTGGGGGCCTGTTGGGGCGACATTGGGTATCTGAAATCCATCAACAACCTACGGACAATCAGTGATTTTGGCGTCCCTTTGGGCCGTGTTGGAAGCCTTGTCGGCCGTCCGGAGGCCATATTGGGCGTGTTCGAACGATCTGTCCTCGTTTCGGGGCCTCTTGGGGGCCTCTTGCGGCCCTTTTCGTATGTGTTGGGGCTTTCTTGGGCCGTCTGGGGGCGGCCCTTGGCTGTCTCGGCGCCCTCTAGGAAGCCTGTTTGGAAGATTTCTGGGTGTCCTGGACCGTCCTTCTTCAACATAGGCGGCACTGGCCGTAAGACTTCCTGGGAAGATGATTTGTCGGGGTGTCGTTGAGCGCCTCCGGAGGCTTCGGGGCCTGACGCGATTCCGAGCGTGGCGGCAGGTAGCGCTGCTTGGGACTCTCGTTTTTTTATCCTGGCAGGCGTTTAGGGAACATGGTTTGGGGGAGGGCGGCAACCCGAGAATCATGTTCCCGGCAAGCTTTCCGGGAGCATGATTTGTTCGGTTCTCTTTAGAGGGGGGCCTCTGGGGGCTTACCGAGGGGCCCTTTTTGGCCTTGTCGGCAAGCCTATGGGAGACATGGTTGGGGCGGTGGGCGGCGCTGGAGCGAGCCGCGACCCGCCCGCGCCCACCCTTGGGAGCGCGGTCCTATCAGAAGCGCTCCAATGGAAAACGACAGGAGTGGGAGGCAGGGGGCCAACGATTTACCGAGGTCTCTTGGGGGCCCGCAGGGTGCTTCCCTGGGGGCCCCTTGGGAGTTTTTTGGGGCTTCCGGGAGCCTCACCGGGCTTCTTGGGAGCCTCTTGATGACCTCCGGGGGCGTCCTGGGAGCCTCTCAGGCCGGAGACCTTGAAATGTCGCGCTCTTCGGGCCCTCTTGGGTCGCTCTTGGGGCTCTCTTGGGGCACTCTCGAGGCCCTCTTGAATCATCTGGGGGGCCTCCTGGGCCGTCCCTGGTCTTTCTTGGGAGCCTCTTCGGCCGTCTTGGAGCGATCTGAAAGGCCTCTGACGCCGTCCGGGACCGTGGGGAGGCGGAACATGCGAGAGCGCAAAAATGCGGGGCCCTTTGAAGGGGCCTCTGGAGACGCTCTTGGAGCGTTTTGGCGGTGTCGTCGGCCATCCTGAGGCCATCTTCGGCGTGTCTGGGGCCGCTTGGGGCTGTCTTGACAATATTTGGGGCCCTCTTGGCGTGTCGTGGCGTGTTTGGGAGCGGGCCCGGGCAGTCCCGGGAGCCCTGGGGGCTGTTGAATGCTAGGTGTTCTCTTAGAGGCGGAGGCTGTCGCGTGCAAGGTGGCGCGCGCTACGCGGAAGGCGGGCGAGCGGCCGGGCAGGCGGCGGGCGGGCGGGCGGGTGGCGGGCGGGCGGGCGGGTCTGGATTTGAATGAATTCCTTAAGGGTGCTCTCTTGCAGCGGGAGCTTGTTGAGAACAGGGTGTTGCCTTGAAGACGGCGGCTGTTGACTACAGGGTGTTGTCTTGGAGACTGAAGCTGTTGAGTGCAGAGTGGTGCGTGCTTACGCGGGCGGCGGGCGGGCGGCGGGTGCCCTAGGTGGCGGGCCAGAGGCCTCATGGGTGTTGGTTTGGATCTCGTGGTTGGCCTGTCGGGGGCGTCGTGAAGGCAATTTCGCAGCTTCTCGGTAGCCGTTTTGGGGCCGCTGTGGGGCCCCCTCGGGGCTGTTTTGTGGCCTCTTGAAACCTCGCTCGGCCCTCCTTAGTGCCTCTCGGGGGCCTCCTGGGGCCTCTTGGGAATGGGAATGGGACGCTCGCGCGGGCAATCGCCCGGGCCCCTGAGGGCGGAGCGGGTGGGGCCGCGGCCTCAGACATGGCCGGCTAGCTGGAAGCTTACTCAGGCGGCCGGCGCCGCGGAAGTATCAGGAGTGGAACACGTGACAAATTGCGCCTCCAGTTTAGTCCAAATTGAATCGTCGGTCGCCAGTTGAAGCCAATCGATGTTGTTCACGTCGTAGCTGCTCTGGGCGGGTCTCTCTTGCACGCCATGGGATGCGAGAAAATCACGCGCGTCATCATCCCATCGCTCCTGCTGTCCTCCCGAATTCCTGTTGCCTTTTTGAGAAGCATGGAGGCTCGGGTGCCAAATGACCACGCATTGAGACCATTCTCGAGGGGACTGCT